ATCAAAACAAGCTGCTGATTATTTCACATTTTACTTGTGAGCAACGGCACATTTAAATCTTACAAATATAGTTATTTGGCTTATATCGTGATGGATATCGTTATCGCCTGAAATGAAAAAAACATATCGTGATATGAAAAAATCTCATATCGCCCAGCTCTAGTGTCCACTTCACACTCGGCAGAGGCAAAGTGTGAAACGCACACGGTGCACCTATTACACGCCTATTACACGCCTATTACACGCCTATTACACACCTATTACACGCCTATTACACACCTATTACACGCCTATTACACACCTATTACACGCCTATTACACACCTATTACACGCGTAATCGCTCACATGAACCCAGTTTGTGTGTAAATCAGAGCAGAGTGAACTTGGCTGTTAACCATGTACCACATCCAGGTTCTTGAACCAGAATCAGACACATATCTGATCCAAAATATTAGATCAGTGCATCCCTTCGTCCTGTACCGTGACAGGTCAGAGGTGTCTTCATAACTCAGGGGGTCGACATTAACAGACAGATGGTCCTAATGTAACTCACTAACAGACAGATGGCGTCTCTCACCTGAACCTGTCCAGCACATTCCCACTCCTCTCAGGACTCTCTGCCCTCTGAGTCCCACTGACACACTCCACAGGTTGGGCCCGGCCTTTTGACCCTGCAGTATGGACACACACACAGTTTAATAATTAACTCCATATCACGTTGTGCACAGATCTTTGCACACACCGAGTAGCAAACAGGTTCTTATCAATTTGCACAACAGTGCTGCATCAGCTTTAAACACAATGTGAATGTGTAACACTGCACACAGCTGCACACACCCATGTTCATCTGACCTAATAAAACTAGTTCAACCTGCTGGCTGAGTCTGCTGAACATTTTTAATGTGAATGTATTTCAATCAGTGTGGGGGGACGGTGTTACTGAACAGCAAAGGAAATATCAGTCATTGTGCTGCATGTGGGTAGAATTAGCAGCTTGTTTGTGTCTGTAACGCAAATTAATGGAAAAAAAATACAGAAATAAATGAAACTGTAAAGATCTGCTTAGTGGTGCTTTCTATACAGACCTATCTGCTGAGGTGCGAGTGAAGCCAGTGGAGCCGCCTTGAAGGAGGAGCGATGAAGAGGAGCTGATAAGGCAGAGGACGTGTCCAGCTTGTATTCATCTACCTGCAGGAGAACTCCTCTCTCCACACACCTGTACACGTAATCCACCCCGACCACAGGTGTGTGGTGTTTCTGAATGCTACGCAGCCTGTTGGAGCTTAGGTTGGATACATCGGTTGTCACTACCAAAGAGCACTGTGGGAAATGTAGGAAGAAATGAGAGAGAAGTCTAAGATTTTTAAATGTATTTATTGGTTTTTGGTCTGAACATAAAGCTGCAGAATGCACACACTGCAGCTTTGTAGCTGAAAGCACAACACAATCCAAAAGGCGTTTTGCACTGCTGGCCTGTGTTGGTCAGTCAGTGTGCAAATATATACTTTTACCAAAATAATGAATTGCTGAAGCTTCCCATCAGAAGAGAACCTAGCTCTATTAGGTCAGACTTCAGCATCTGCACCATCGTCACTAACACAGAGGGACGTCCTTCTGCAGAATGAGCGCTTTTGCTCACTCGTGCGCTTCTGTTGGTACCAGACAGTCCTGTGAGGCTCCATGGAAGTGCAGCCGATTCATGACCAACTATTAACTACATGTTTCTATAGATGTGGGAGAATTAAAGGAAATTAAAGCATATAGTTAGGGCTGGACCAGGTGACCCTGAATCCTCGCTTAGTTATGCTGCAATAGACGTAGGCTGCCCGGGATTCCCATGATGCATTGAGTTTTTCCTTTCCAGTCACCTTTCTCACTCACTATGTGTTAACAGACCTCTCTGCATTGAATCATATCTGTTATTAACCTCTGTCTCTCTTCCACAGCATGTCTTTATCCTGTCTTCCTTCTCTCACCCCAACCAATCACAGCAGATGGCCCCGCCCCTCCCTGAGCCTGGTTCTGCCGGAGGTTTCTTTCTGTTTCAAGGGCGTTTTTTCCTTCCCACTGTCGCCAAAGTGCTGCTCATAGGGGGTCATATGATTGTTGGGTTTTTCTCTGTATCTATGAAGCGCCTTGAGGCAACTTTTGTTGTGTTTTGGCGCTATATAAATAAAATTGAATTGAATTGAATTCTAGTGTTGAATGACTTCGATCATTCGTGGTGCAGCTCTGGCATGGTTTCAAAATCGACGAATATGTTGTGAACATTATACTGAAATAGTCACGTGCTGCAGCTCGACATGGACGCAGCAGGTACCAAAGAAAAAAGCTCTTTTTAAGTAAAGTTGTTTAGTAAAGTTTCATTTGAGCATTCGGCCGTGAGGAGTGCCCCCTCCCCCCGCGCTGACAGCTCTCTGACCTGTTTGTTGACCACAAACGAAAGGCTGCCTCCGTGACCTGTGACGGCTGATTTCACCGTCTTCTTCTCCTTGAACGACAAACCTCTGAGCTCGAACAGCACCGAGCAGTTGTCGAACACCGCCATGTCTGGAGACGTGTGTCACACAGCTGCGCTGAGAAAACCCTGCTGGCGCTTCCACCAACTCCTGTTAAAATGCGGAAGTAACTCGCAGCAAAAAGTAACAATGTAACAGATCAGTTAGAGAACAGCCACGCGGGACTCGTGCTCGTTAGTAAACAAATACGACGAATACAACAAAGCATCGACACGACCAGAAACAGCAAAGTAAAGGTACTGACGAAACACCCGAAGCACGCACTCGTCCAGTGACTAACTAAAAGCGAGCAGCAACATTTAACTTCCTGTCTGGTTCGGTTTTCAAAATAAAGGTCCTGACGTTAACAGAGGCGTTTCCGTCCTCGAACACGTCCACGACAAATCAGTGTCGAATCAGACTGAAATGTCACAGATATTCAGACATTAACACAGTGGTTCCCAAACTTTTTTTCTGGGCCCCTTTGTTTTACAAGAAAAATGTTCGCCCCCTGTCACTACCCGATCCGTACCGGTGTTGTGCCAAAAAGTGATTGTCTGCCAAAAACTGATTTCCAATGTTTCTGTGTATTTTTTATGTGTAATATCTTTACGTATGTTCGT